GTTATTTTTACAGTGTTAATATTTAATGTGAACTCATTGGGGCATTCAGATGCTTTACTAGTACTTCTTTTACTAACCCACCATAATAAGAAAGACTTAGACCAACATAGCATTTTCTCCTTTTATGCAAAAGTTCTTTTTCTTTTTTCCTCCAGCTCAGCCAATACTATCCAAATGCAGCACCGCAACGCCACTTCTGGGTCACAACCGCTGGGTGTTATGCCGGACGTTACGTTACCGCTGTATTAGGCGCAAGTTTTGTCGCTGCGGTTTCAGAACGCCAGTATTGTAACCTATGAATTGAGTAGACAGTTATAGTATACTACAAATCTATATTTCTATACATAATCTATACATAAATCTAAATTTAGTGAACGTGTAAACTTTTTTTATCGGATGCAATTCTAACAGCAAAGACAGGTTCATCTACAGACCATAATTAGAAGCATAGCTGCTATGCACAAAGGGAAAGACCACAAAATGTCAAAACTGTCTTCCTCTGTAATAATCCTGCTCTTTGGAGTACTTTAGAAAATGATTGTCAGTAAACAGTTCCTAAAAACTTCCGTATATCCAAGATAAAGATGGTTTGTCCCCGCCCATAAACTTCCGTCCTGAAGCTGGTGGCCTTGAACTGGTGGCCTAGAAGTGCGGCGCTGCAATTGGACATTTCTCAGCTCAGCTCCTGATAACCAAAGAGCTGTGCTCATGTAAGTTGGAAAATATTGAAAAACCGTCATTATAGATGTATTTAAGTATGAATAAGACAGGTTTCTTTAACTATGACAAGAAAAAAACAGTCAAGCTCACCTGAGAACCGCCTGTGGTATAAAAGTGAGTGAAATATATGGCACCAGTCACCAAACACGGATTATGAAGCTAGACTGTGTTAGATTGCATTATTTGGCAGGGCTGAGAAAAGGTGTGAGCTATCTTGATTGAAGGAGTGCATTTCCGCTAAAGCAGATATAATGGGTGCTGGCCTTATTGCTTTTAGACCACAACTTGGGATCGAAGAACAAATCAAATCACTTTGCTCATTTAATAGTGAGATTTTCTTTAAGCTTCATTTTTGAAACCCACCATGATCAGGATGGTATGGCACTGATAACCAATACCTTCTCTAGTTAAACCATAAAGGCTAAACCATCGTGCCTAGTAACTGTTTAGCATACAAGAACCATTTCTGTGATCTTTAGGAGTGATTAGCCGAACTGAATCTGTTTAGCCTTGAGCAACAAGAGATCAGATTCTATAAGATTCTAATGGGTCTGGATGCTGTTCAGCCAAATGGCTATTTCAATATTAGTTTCAATACAAGAACTCGTGGCCATAAGTGGAAATCAGTTTAAAACAAATTTGAGGAAGCACTTCTTTACACAGCATGTAGTTAGAGTACAGAATAGTNCACACATTGCTATAAAGGTACCTTCAGATAACAAATTTGCTTATGCTTATGTAAATAGAAAGTACTTTCACTCTATTAATGTACAAATTATGTGTGATTCGAACATGCATCTCATTAATGCATGGGGCTCCATTAAATCTGAGGGGCTAGTTTTATGCCAGTGCCCCCATCCCCCCCCCCCCACACACACACACACACACACAAAAGTAAGTATTAAAACGAAAGTAATACTGCATCTGCGCCCTACATGTTACTCATAAACATGCAAGTAATTCAAACAAGTATGGTACGAGAAAAACTCACCTGCGATGACATCGACGTCCCCCTCACCCAATAAAAGCGTGTCCCCAATCATTGCAGTAACTCATTGCTCAAAGGGTGTGAGACCGGAAATTCCACAATCCCCGCCTTTGCTGTAAAGACTCTTGCTGTGAGCGGTTGCTTGTTTTTTCACGTTGATTTTAATGTCCGACTCCTTTTTATTTTCGGCTGCCGTGCGAATTTCGGAACCAACACTTTTAACTGACTCCGCTACACTGTGCCACTCCATCAACTTTCATTTATTGCTGATGCTGCTGCTTAAACCACTGAATAATATCACTTTTCTTTTCTTGAATTCTGTTAACATGACCTCCACTTCCACACTCGCTGAAATACTTTTTTCCCACGTGGTTTATTCATTGTTGTTTAAGAAAAACATAGAACAAAGTGGGTATTTATACAAATTTACATATGCAAATATACATAATTTTGGGCGGGTTTAGGGGTGGCTGTGGGCTCATTCATGTACGTAAAATTTCATGCTCATTGGGATATATAAAGGGAATCTACATAGATCTGTGCTTACGCAAAGTTTTATGCATCTGGATTTTTTCTTTCTTACGCGCATTCCTAGTTTTGCCCATACGCCATGTTTTAATGTGAATTCTACGTACATCGTTATACATGAGGCCCCAGCACACTGTGTTCCTATAAGCTGAACACATGCTGCTTCTTTGAGTCTCCTCTTGTTTGGGTAGTAGGTTTTACCTCCTGGGTTTTGCAAATATATGTGAGTTAACTAGGGTGTGTCAGTTGATTCTTTGACTTTCATGCTGTGACAGTACATAACATCCTTGGAATCCTGAAGATTTTTTTTTTTAATGGGTGGTAAAAAGATTTCTCTGAACAGGTTTGGACACGTTTCATCAACTCCAGCAAGCTACAAGTCTGTGCAACTGACATGTTTTAACTGCATCTGGGGGTTTTAACTGCATCTGGG